TTTCTACTTATGTAGTGCTTATTGTTTTACCTGCATCATTGTAAACATTTTACTTGTATTAAGTTATTTAATGATCAAAACAGCCCATAAGATAGGTATCATAATTATCCTCCAGACTTGGGGAAATGGAGGCACATATTAGTTAAGTAACTTTGCTGAATCCCCACAAGAGCCAGAGTCAGGTGCGGGGGGTTGGGGGGGAGGGGGTGACTCAGACAGCCTGGCTCTTAAACACTGCACACTGTTCTGTCTCTTTCAATGAGTGAAATGCAAGGCCCAGGAAAGAGAATTTGTTGAGTGACTTAATGTTTCTAGTCCCACTCATTCTTCTTTTGAGCAGTAAGACAAAAATGACATAAAGTGAATTGTTCTGCTATCGTAAGCCTGAAATGAACTCGGATTAGGAAAGTGGTCCCCAGACATCTTTAAAGTGAAAGGCTGTGACAGCGTATGACTGGAAGTTCTCGGGGAGGCATTGCCTTGTTTTGTTTTTCAGCTTCCTTCTTTGCTTGGTGATCTTTCAGTGTATTACCCTGACAAGTGGGTTTGAAGAGGAGTGACAACGTCGCTGCAAGTAAGGACCACAGAGAGGCTTCTAGGGGAACATGGGAAATCTTACCTAAGACTTGACCGAGATCTGGAGCTGAGGAAGAGGCCACTCAAAAGAACAATCACATGAGACCAGCTCACGGCATACAACAGGTCTTGTGGGCCAATTGGAAGGATCTCATCATTTGAATGTATACAGCTTTACGGTGGTGTCTCTCATAATAAATCAGCTTTCCATTCATTAGATCCTTGTAGTTACTTAAGTATTTATTCACTCGTGTTTGTTTCAAACAGACGTATCAGTGTTTAATAGAACAGCAGGGTGAATAAGCAGCTTTGGGATTTTTGAGTCATTGAAGAATGTGACACATTAGGATTTTTTGTGGGGATAGAGTTGGAGGGATGAGTGGAAGAGAGGGAACTGAGAGCAGCAGAAAAAGAGAAGTTATATTTTTCCAAGAAGATTCTGCCCATGCCACGTGGCACTGTTGGGGGGCTGTGCCTTGGCTGTCCACCGGATGTTCAGATTGGGGTAAAGTGAACAGAAGTTGGTGAACTATGGCCTGAGGGCTGAATCCTGGCTGTTGGTCTATTTTTTTGCAAATAAGTTTTAATTGAAACACAGCCATGCTCATTTGTTTCCTGTTTTTGTAGAGTTAGAGCCCATCCTTTCAAATACACCTTGTCTGTGCTTCCTTCTGTGCTACAACGGCAGAGATGAGTAGTTCTGACAGAGATCGTAATAGCCCATGAAGTGTAAAGTCTGTATTACCTGGCCCTTTACAGAAAAAAATTGCTGACTGATGGTTGTAAGGGAAGACTGATTATTTAACCACCACGAAATATTTCTTTTTTGGAGACTATAGGCTGCATATGTCTTATAGCAGTGGAGACCTAACTTTAATGTGTTGGCAAAAATATGTTTTAAATGGTTCTCTAAACACTGCACATAGAAATTCATATTTCTTGTTTCCATTTACAAAATGCCATGACCACCCCAGCTCTACTGAGTCACTGCCATGGCAAAGCCTGGCATTTTTAAAAGGCATAAATCCAATATTGAGGCCAGTTTGGGAACTAGCCTGGAACATACTAAGTCTTCCCAAAATGCTTATTGAATTAGTGAGGTCACATTAATTGTGGCAACAGTCTGTAACATGAACTGCTTGTGCATGTTCTAAACCATAATTCAGAAACAAGTCTAGAGTTTGTTATTTTGAAAAGCTCCTTTAATACTATTAAAAATTGCTTTCCACATTTATTGCTAAAAAGAAGGAAATAAAAATCATACATTGCTACTGAGTCATACTGTCAATCTGTTAATATTTTGATGTACACACACACACACACACAATCCCTTCTGGATTGAATTAGTATAATTCTATTGAATTCTCAAAATACCATGTGGTTATTTTGGGTTATAGTTGTGGGAAGGGATTTCACTTGGGTTTCGGAATGGTTACTTTCTTGGAAGTGTTTAGATAAAGAGCCAAGAAATACATTGTTGTTCCTATGGGAACAGAAGAACTGGTGAATATTAATTATTATTTGAAAATCTTTAACTTACATGATAAGACTTGGACAGAACACATTTAGACTATTTAGATGCATTTTTGTTTATTTGTTTGTTTGTTTCTTATTGCTACTAAATTATCCTTTCATGAAACCTTTTCCTTTGTAGCTCTTTACCAACTGGACATCCACTGCACCACTGCTGATGTCATCAGGATCAGGCTGTCACCATGGCAGCCCATGTACCTGGCAGTCCAGCATTACCTTAATGATGCTGGAAAAGTCTCTGGATAACAGTCTAGGCTGAATCTGTCAGGTACTTTTGACGATATCATAAATTGGATTTAATGTGTCACTCCCCTTCCTATCTCTGGAACATTCACCAAGGGCTTTGGTGATCACAGCGGAGGAAGAAGGTGCTACCGCATTCTGGGTTTTTCCATTCTGAAGGGACATTTTCACTGGAATCCAGACACGTCCAGTCACCGATGACGCTGGCAATGTCAGTGTCACCATCAGCTTTTCTGAAAGTAGAGCCGGGAGCTGATTTGGGAGCCAGTATAGGTGTGGTATCCACTCCTCCATTGGTGCACATAAAATGCACGACTTTGATTTCTTTGGGGTTTATGATAAAGATGGCTGGTGTCAGATGAACCTGGGCACTAGACTGTTGACGAAAGTTATACCTTTGTCTCCTGTAAGCCAAAAGCTGAGAGCCAGACTTACTGTTAATGAAACAATTGCATTAGATCATTCATACAGAGTACATCTTGGTATAGTGATAATAGTATAAACTGAAAATTAGAAAAACCTGGATCCTATCTGGGCCATTTGTTCCATAATGATCATTTATCCTTGAGCCTGTTACTTAGGTTGTCTGAGTCTCAGTTTGCTCATCTGTCCAATAGAGCTGACAATACAGACCATGATTATTCTATAGGATTATAGGGAAGATGAAGATGAGACAGTGGATGAGACTCTTTTGATGAATTATAATGTGTCTCGTAAGGTGATATTATTAACTTTAAAATAACATCATAACAGTAATAATAATTCCTGGAAGTAGTCGCAGTTAGAATTGCAAATAGGTTTACATGTGAATGCTCTAATCATCTGAATGTATGCAGATTATAGCTATATATATCATAATAAGTTAGCTCTTCATTCATTAGTTCAAGGAAACCTGCTAAGTCCTTTTACTTATTTATTTAACATTTTCAGCAGCTTTAAACTTAAAGAAAAACAAAAATGAGTGAAAAGCAGGAGTTCCCAAATATTTCTTACCCCCTGATTTTTCTTATTATTAACATTTTGCATTAGTGTGGTGCATTTGTTACAGTTGGGCCAATATCGATACCTTACTATTAACTAAATTCAATAGTTTACATTAAAGTTCACTCTTGGTGTCATACTCTGTGGGTTTTGATAAATGTATTATGACACAGATCGACCATTGCAGTATCATTTAGAATAGTTTCACTGCCCTACAATCCTCTGCGATCCACCTGGTCATCCCTCTCTACTTCTCCCTCAATGCCTGGCAACTACTGATCTTTTACTGTCTCTCTAATTTTGCCTTTTCCAGAACGTTGTATAGTCAGAGTCATACCGTATATAGCCTCTCCAGATTGGCTTCTTTCACTTAATAATATACACTTAAGTTAAAGTGTCCATTTGTGGCTTGGGAGCTCATTTTTTTATTACTGAATAATATTACATTGTCGGGATGTACCACATTGCTTATCCATTCACCTCCTGAAGGACGTCTTGGTTGCCACCAAATTTTGGCAATTATGAATAAAGCTGCTATAAACTTCCATGTGCAGGTCTTTGTGTGGAAATGAGTTTGCAACTCCTTTGGATAAATACCAAGGAGCACAACTGCTGGAACATATGGTAAAAGTACGTTTAATCGTGTAAGAAACTGCCAAACTGTCTTCCAAAGTGTCTGTGCCATTTCGTATGCTCACTGTATATGGCGCTGTCGGTGTTTTGGATTTTGGCTATGCTAATAGGTGCGTGGTGGCATCTTATTGTGTGTGCATTTGCAATCACCTGGTGACATATGGTGTTCAGCATCTTTTCACATGCTTCCTCGCTGTCTGTATATCTTTGTGAGACGTCTGTTAGATCTTTTGCCCATTTTAAGACTGGGCTGTATGTTTTCCTATTGTTGAGTTGTAAGAGTTTTTTCCACATTTTGGGTACCAGTCATTTATCTGGTACGTATCTTGCAAAGATTTTCTCCCAGTCTGTGACTTATCTTTCATTCTCTTAATACTTATTTATCTTTAATTATTTGACTTCACCATTACCATCTAACTGTTTTAAAGTACTGTTGACATTCGGGTTTCTAGCTTTTAAAAAGGCCAAACAGTCCCAACATTCTCTTCCTATTTGCCATTGACTCACTTTGCGGTCGGTTGCATTTGTAGATGGGATCAAGTCATCAAGCCCATCAGCGGCTCAACCTCAAACCTCACGTTCTTAACCGGGATCATCGCTGCTATCATCTGAGAGTCGGCCTGTGGCCCGTCCAAGTTGGCTGGGCCTCGCCAAGCTGACTGGAGCGGCCGACATTTTTGCTGACTGGAGTCATGCTATCTTTGCCAGTTTGCTGGAATAGACACAGACACCGATTGGGTCACGCTGAAGACATTCCTGTCTTGTGAAGCAAGTCTGTTTGTATTTTAGGTTTGCCAGGACTAATGAATTAAAACATTTGGACTCTCCGCAACTTGCTGTTTATCAATGCCTCTGACAGGAGGAGGGTTTTCTTTTGCTCTTGCTTTTTCTAGAAACATGACAACATCCTGGCTGTTGGAGAGGCAAGGAAAGGAGAGAGGGGCTGTAGCGGGAAGCGGAACAGGGAGGCCCCGTGGGACGCCGGGTCTGGGGGAGAGCAGGTAGGAGCAAGCTGCCCTGACAGCTGTCATTGCTCCTCAGATTGTCAGTGGCTGCTATGCAGCAGGTGCAGCCTGCTCTCTCTCTAAGTCTCTGCTCCACAAAGGCACCGACTGGCCAAGGCAGTGGCTGGCCCTGGATTACAGAAGTGCAGACACTCAACTAAGTGAGGTAAGGCAACAGGTGTGAAAACCCAAGTAAACGCTCAGAGCACCAGCAACTTAACCAAAGCTCTGGTGCAGCCGAGAGGAGGACTCGGTGGCCCATTTCCCCAGGCAGTGTGATGAAAAGGCAAGTTGGTTCAGGGGCTCTTGTGGTCGACACCGTGTGGAACTCGAAGTCCACCCAGCGTCCCCTCTGCCATCCCTTTCGGAGGCAGACAGATGCTCTAAGTTGCGCGGAAGGGAGGGGCTCTAATTAGCTGTGTTTATCAGTTTCATTTCCCGTTGCTGTAAACTGCACCAGAGATCTATTCACAAAATCTTGGAGGCAGATTTCTACCTCTTGAGCTTTATTTCTTGGTGCAGCAAAATCTTAGCCAGAAGAGGAGTGCAGCTTTTCATCCTCAGATGTAATGATAAAATGGTTTGATGGTTGTCCGGTGTGTAACAAGAAGACTTTTTCTTTTAGCTACAACTTGAAGGGGATTTTTATTGTTTGTTTTGTTACATTTGAGACAGTCTGTTCTATTCCTCAGGAACAGGTGGTTAACGAGACGCTTGATTCTAAGCAGATAAGACTACACAGAAATGTATGTCAGGGCAAAGATAAAACAAATCCTGAGTCAAGTAACAGCAATTTTATATTACCCCCCCCTTTTTTTTAATTTGAATATTTCATGTTACCACTCTTTTCTAACTTAGAATGCCATGACTTGGAATGCTTTAGGGTTTCTTGTTATTTGTAGTGTTAAATGAATGAACCAAATATGATTGTAACTGGGTGATAAACAGTTGCTGTTTTCCACCCGCTAAAGCTTTACTAGATGTTTAATGTAAGCCTGTTCCCTTTCTATATACTAAGTAAGAGGATTCCATATGTGTGTATTTCTAAAAATACATGTATGTATATATACATTCGCTTTGGCTCTATAAATAATTGTAAAAACAAAGTTCAGTGTTCTAGACACTATTTTTAGATAGAGAAAAGTTATGGGAAAGATTCAGGAACCTTGCTGTGAGAAAATGCCCTGCTCACGCAGTTCCCAGAATCTTTCTAAGGATGGCTAAAGAGATGATTTATATTTTTCCATTTTTAGAGACATTTTCCTTAAAATATCATTTAGAGTTTTTGGTTTACTGTCTATATGAAAAGGAAAGTAGAGAGTTAAGAGGACACATGACTCAAAATAGAAAAGTTAAATATATGTATTTAAATATCAAATATATGTATTTATAATAATATCTTTTCCTAGTCCCAGTGATCAAAAATTATCATGTATCTTGATGAAAATATATTTGGGCTAAATTCTCTTATTATAACATAGAAATATTCATGTGTTTTTGCCCACCCTAACTCATCTTATCTGTAGAATAATTTTCCATTCATTCTACCTTAGTTTATTAATTAAATGATAATATAATAGGTGAGGTAGAACATTAATAGAATGTTTTTAGTTTTGTATTTTGCTTGCATCATGCAATGGTTTTAATGATCAACCTGAGAAATGTTGATAGATTTACAGGTAGTTAATCAGATATTTATAATCTTCATAATATAACTGTGGGATATTTTAAAATTGTCTTTTATATTCTTCAAACGATTCCATAATACTCATTTTTACCACTCTCAGATCAATAATTCACATCTAATTTAGACTTCTGAGCATGAAAAGTTAGTTTAATCTAGAGATGTCTGATGCCCTATTAAGATTTCTTTATTTCCTTAAATTTAAAATACAAGACCTTGAAGGGTCAGGATTAGACTAGTCATGTGAAGGGATACTAAAAAAGTGAGATGGGTGGAGATTTTGCTTCATCTTGCATATTATATTCTAGTTGTATATTTCCAAAGCAATATTTTTATACACCAGAGAAAGGATTTTAAATGGAAATCCTTTCCATGTAAAGTGAATACATTCGAGGCAGGGAAAGCAAGCTAGAAACTAGGAGTATCTTTAAAATAAGAAAGCAGTGCTTAATGACTTTCCCCTCTTAATTTTCAAGGGCCTCTGAGTATTTGAGGGATGACATTGAGTAAAGTGACAATGGTTCTCTCTTGTCCTTACAGCTGGAAGACCCAGGGGAAGGCCGAGGCTCAGGTGCCCACATGATCAGCACCACCAGGGTACCTGCGGATAAGCCAGTACGCATCGCCTTCAGCCTTGATAATGCCTCAGGTATACTCTGCTCACAGAGAAAGGGCTGCCTTCCTGCCTGCTGCCTTTTTACCATTATTCTTTCCAGTTCCACAAAGGGCATTTTAAAATGCACGCCTGGCGTGACCTAGTGATGGGGAGTGTGGTTTTCATCGTGCCTTGTTCAAGGGTGGCTTCCCAAAATGCCTCTGATGATGCTTCCCCCATCTCCCATTCTTTGGTTGCTTAAGACATTTCTTCTTCTTTTTTTTTTCTTTCCCCATTTTATCTTTCTTTTATTATAAAATTCATGGGGCTACACCAATTTCAAATGATAGCAAAGTATGTCATTGTTAAAATTTCATGAGGGGACATTTATTAAGAGCTGGCATTTGGTTGGGGGATGTAAAAATATCACTGTCCTGGTTCCAGCAGCATTTCCTGAAACCCAAGTCCCTAACGCTGGTTTCTCACTGGTGTTCCCACACTTCCGACTAAATCAACAGACTTCAGCCAGAGGGATGAATGGGACAGGTGAGGCAGACCTTCTCGAAATAGTAAGGTCTGAGGCGAGGCTGCCATACTTAGGTCATGGCTCCCCTCAATGACCTCTTAACACACATATCGAATTGCACTACTTCTGTTAGGGGACCTCAGGTGGTGTGGGTCACAGCGGTGAGAAAGAGAACTCTTCCACTGGTGTTGGCCATTGCCCTCAGTCTAATGTCATTTGTTAATATCACATAATCGCACGCTCAAACAACATTAACATTTAAACCTTGGGTCTTTTGAGGACTGACCTTTTTCTATTATCTATCTATCTACCTATCTATCTATCCGTCTATCATCTATCTTTCTTCCTACAATGTCCATGTCGAGGTATTGCTTTGAAAAGTAATGATTGAAGAAGGACAGGTTTATCCTCATATAATGCAAAGCGAGGATCTGGGTTCTGTGAAGTCTGACTTTACATAGGCAGTTTGGGCTTTCTTATACCAAGTGATTATGATGGTGACGCATCCACCCATTTTCCTGGACTGTGCAGCCCCCAGTGGAGGATTGTTCTAGAGCAGGAAGAGGTGAAGCCTCGACAATTCATCATCTGTTTTTCCCACTCTCCCTGTGGCCTGCCCTAGTCCTATATCTCCTCTCATTACCACATATGTGTCCCTATATGTGTCCTTTGAAAGACAGTAGTGAAGGAAAATCCTCCCAATAGGCAAACCAACCCATCCCAACAAAGAATGACAGCTAGCATTAATTGCGTTTGTCTTTTGTGTTAGGCATCATCACATGTGATTTCTAATCTTTAAAATAACCCTACAATGTAGGCATAAATATTCCCAATTTGCAAAGACAGAGATTGAGGACCAGAGACCACACTTTTAGTGAGTAATGGAGTTATGATTTAAACTCAGGTCCCTAAACTTGACAGTCTGAATTCTCTCCATTATCCCATGCTGCTTCTCTAAGGAGAAAAAGAAAACTGTATGCGTAGTGAGGGTACATGAGAGCTCTGCACTTTATGCTCAATTTATCTGTAAAACTGCTCTAAAAAAATAAAGTCTATCAATTAAAAACGAACAAACCAAAAAGGAAAACCTGCTTTTTATTTGTATGCATGTTGTAAATGAAAGATTTTGAGGAATAGTTAGTGTTTGAGTAGTTAGCTCTCAAAACAGACACACGTAAACCCAAACCCAGAGAGGAAGAAGATGTATAATTTTCTCCCTTGTGTTTATGTCACATATAAGTAGCACAAGTCCTGTTACAATCAACAGCCTTACGAAGAAAATTTCGATGTATCAAGCTTGTTTATTCCAAGCAGTATTATTATATCATAATTTAGGACAAGACAAGTAAAGATATTGTTCCCTCATCTTCATTTTAACAATTTAATTTACGTACAGAAAAGAGCCATGCAGAGGTGAATCTCGATCTTGGGGTTGCATGGATGGACTCCTCCTTGAATGACAAGATGTACAACTTGTAATTAATTTGCCACCATCTTTTAAACTCTTTTGGCCCCTGACTGGGAGCTCTCGAATGTGTTTTATCAATCACTTTAGATTGATTTGTTCTAGTGTCTCTCAAATATCACAAGAAAGCCCACTTTTGAATTTTTTTATAGGATAGCTTCAAATAGGGGTGGTCATTTATTTCAAGAATTCCCACCCTATACTTCCACCAAAAAAATGAATATGAAGCCTTATGAAGAACCTACCAAAATTAATTTTTTTCTTAGGATCAGTGTGTCATTATATCTCTAGAAAGGTCACCCAACATGGTAGAGAATGCAAGGCAGGAGTTGAGGTTCTGTGTTTCTGAACCTTTCTTAAAATAATCATTTGAGAGCTCTTATCAAAAGTACATGTTCCAAGGCCATACTCCTGTATGTTCTGATGCAGTGGGCCAAGAAGTCCGTCTTTTTTTTTTTTTTTTTCATTCACAGGAGGTTGCAAGTGCACAGAAAGATGCTTTGCACATATTTGGCGACACTCCCTCTGAATTCTTGAATAAGGAACGTGTGTGGTGTCCTACTGAGCAACACTTGCCATCGTGCACACTGTGCATGCCTTTTGAATTCCAGTGCATGTGGCATGCAGACCACACATTTAGGGAAAAAACAAAGGGAAACATCCTAGACTTTTATAGTAAGTGGGATGACTAAGGTAGATTTTTAGGGAGTAATTCCGTATTGTTGAATTTATTGCTGAAGAATTAAGCAGAGTCCATGAGAAAAGGAGACATAGTTGCCCATGAATGTTGACTTGTTCATTTTTTATGAGCCCAATATAGTGCTTATCCCCCAGTTATGTTAGGACTATTTTTTTTTCTTCTTCTTTTTTTTTTGCCCTCATATTTCTCTCAGATGATTTGGTATAGAGGTTAAGGACATTAGGCTTTGGAGTCAGCAAGGCATGGTTTCTAGACTCATTCCCATCACTATTTGTATGATCTTGGGTAAGTCACTCAACTTTGCTGAACTTCAGTTTCCCATACAATGTGTATGGTAATTTAGAGAGTTGTCGTAAGAATCAAATAACACTATAGGTAAAGCATTTAGCATAGTGCTTGACACAAATCAAGTAGTCAGCTGGTCCCTGTGTTTATGATGATTGATTCTGGAGTATTATAGAAAGTATAAACCACAAGGCAGTTTTGAGTCCTGTCTACATCTCACACTTCCACTTCAACTCAAGGTAATGTAGGGACTAGGTATCCGGTTGGTAGATTGTGTTACCCAGAGCAGATGGGGACAGCTTCTCGGAAGACGCGATTGTTAACTTAGCCTTGCAGGTGGGTAGGGTATTGGTAGGCAGTGTAGAAAGATGCCATTTCTGGATACCACGTACAATAAAAGGGGGCTATTCACCTTTTAATAATTCTTCCTTTTCCTTCTAAACACAAAGCGTGAGCCAAATATAAGAGCTGGGAAGAGCATGATATATTTCAGAAATGCTAAAACTCTTGTCAACTGGAGCAGAGGTCTGAAATGTGGAAAAGTAGCATGCCATTCACCGAGCCCTGCTCTGAGCCAGGCATTTGTGCTGCCGTCTATGGAGCATATGTTTCGATGGCAGTAGACTAGAGTTACCAAGCCAATCTTAAAAGTTCAGCGAAAGAGTTTGGATTTGATCAGAAGCAACAGAATGTCAACAGTTCTTGAGCAAGGGAGCAATGCAATGAAAATGGTAAATGTTTGATTGGCGGAACAGTCTGGAATGTGGAGAGAAAATGGAAGAGGCTTTTTATAAAGGTACAGAGACAAAGTGATGAGAGCCTGGATTAAATTGTGGAACGAGATGACCAAATTCACAGTACATTTTGAAGGAAGGGTTGAAAGGACTTGATGACAGATTGGCCCTGGTACATGTGAAGTTGATCATTGTTTATTGATAGCAGAGTGAGGTGCAAGACTCCAAATAGACGATGAATCTCCAGGGGCTTAAATAAAGGAAGGAAGTTTTTTTGGGGGTGGGGAGAATCCCTTTAAAAGACAATCACCGTTTTTAGCCTATCATCAGAACTCTTCATTAAGCAACACATAGCTAACCATAATTCCCGGAAGCGGCAATACCTGTCTTTAATAAGCTAATGATATGATTGGCATTACTTCCAAACCGGTAATCCTAAAGAGTTAACTTTCTAAGTGCAGAACTGCACAGAGTTAGTTTTCTCAACAGAAATGTGTGGAAGGAAAATATGAATCCCACCTCTTGGGTTATTATAGAATCACTGGCCTTTCTCCAGTTAGAGAGAATTTAGAGTTGGGCTGATATGAAGATTTGATGTTAATTACTTGAGAATTTTCTTTATCTTCAGCAGAGCTAAAATCTGGCACACTCTCATATAAATTTAATCCTTGCCCTTGGGGTTTTTTGTTTTGTTTTGTTTTGCTTTTAGATTTTTAGTTTTTATTTAGAAAGAGTCATGGATACTGGTATCAGCTTAAGCTGGTAGCTTTCAACATTTTGTTTTTAAAAAATACTTTCAAGCTATCAGAATTTTTCATAGCTAGGCATGAATTAATCATATGACATTTAGTTTACAAAAAAAAATTCCAGGGCATATTCTGTTGGTGTCTCTTTTAAATAATACTATTTTTCTCCTCACAGATCAGGATACTTTTGTGTGGCAGCAAGAACTATGTGAAGTAGCTGGAATAACTACCCTTGAATCTAAATTCATTGGACATTGTGTGAATGTCTTTTTGTGTGCACACATGCAAAACTGGCTCTCAGCAAAATTGTGATGCAGGTGAAATGTCTCCTGTCATTGCCCCCTTCCTTTAACATTTTCTACCTTTCGTGTCTTCTGGTGTTACTTCTCTCTCCCTCCTCAGCGCCCCCAAAGTTTCCGGTACTTTCTTCTCTCCATGCTCTCAATCCTTGTTCTCTGGAAAGACTGGAAAGCCTCATTTACACTAAGCAATAAATGAATATGAGGTTTACCTTATTACTTCTCTTAAGATGTTTGTTTTTGTTTCCATGTTTTTTTGTTGTCGTTGTTTTGTTTTGCTGTCGTTTTGCATATCCATA